TGAACAACGCCTCTTCAGCCTGCGTACGCGCAGCCACCGCTCTCGTGCTGATAGACTCGCCATCGGCTCCTGTAGGCAACTCTTAACACGTCTCGGTTTGCTCACTGTTTTCCACTGCCTGGAAGTAGATACTAATCCTTTATGCTTACAGGAAACGTGGGAAGCTATCTGAGCACTTGTTATTCATTAATCTGGCAAGCTATTGCTCTAATAAGGTGATAAATGGGAAAACTGAGGCACAGAGCAATTAAGCGACGTATCCATGACAAACACAGTAAGTTGTGGATAAATCTGGAGTAAAAAGCTATGAGTACTGAGTGTAAACAAATTCAGCGCCTCAGACAAAAGTTAATCCTAATAGAGGAAAAATTCAAGGAAAAGTGTTACTTCGGACTACGGGTACCATCGGTGCACATTTGGGCCACTGCCAAAGGAAAATGACCTCTGGACCCTGAATGCCTTTCACCCCGCTGCCTTTATCTGGCTGTTGCAAGTAGGTGTAAGACATTTTGTATTTGATGATCATTTAGAGGCTGTGAATTTGACCCCATCTCTCCTTTCTGTGCTTTCTCACTTTGTAGAAGGCCAGGTAAATTTTTACACCAACTAGATAGCCCACTGATTCACCAGTCAGCCTTTGCAAGTCTCGTTCTCTTTTATCTGTTGCCCTAAAAATCAATTTCCCTATTTATCCATCAGTGAAGATAACACTTCTCCACTGCAGATTCATAAGGTAAGAGGTAGTTACCTGCAGTTTGTAGAAGACTGCAAAGAGAGAACACGACACAAAAAGATGTCCATGCCATGCTAGTATCGCTACTGATGCAGGCAGCTTGTGTACATGAAGCAAGAGAGTGGTCTACAGGTGAGGGGCTCCATCTCTTGCCGTGTTCCTTCCTTTCTTCAGCTGTTGATTCCCATCAGTTTCGATAAACGGATTTATTTTTCAAAAGTTGAATCCCAGATAAATAAAATAAACCAGCAGACATTATGTAAAAGCCTATATCTGACCAATACAATTCTTCCCATTTAATGGAGTCTCTCTTTCCTTTCTAACAGATGCCCTAAAATTGGCTGTAGCCATGCTGATGTAAAAGGATCAGACCTTGTGCCAGATGAAGTGCTTAAAAGAGCGATTGACAGTCAGAATAAACAAAGCTGGTCGACACTGGACAAGTCAGCTGCTGCCACAAACAAAATTTGTTGTTAGAGGTCTTGTGAGATAAGCTGCTGATTGTAAGTAGGTTGTGTAACTGATTGTTACTTAAAGTGGTTCATTTATAGGCAAAATTGAAGGTCTCGCCTGTAACCAAAAGCATTTTTTAAACTGCCAAATATGATGAATTCCGGTTTGTCTTGGTTTTTTAACCTTCCTGAAATTCGAAAAGCTTGCATTTGATAAATAAAATGTGTTTTGCAGCATTTAACCTTCCTTGTCAGTTGTGCTAATTTTTTCAGCGTATTAGAGATGCAGATTCTGCCGGCACGTAAGAGCGAGTGCTTTGCTCAGCATTGCAGATGGTTCTGTTACTGCCTCCGTAGCTGCTGGGAGCCCTCAGAGTAGGGCACTGGCCAAGGATTTACCCAAACCATATACCCTGCTTGGGAGCATGTCCGTGTTTTAATACAAACCTCAAGAAACTTTAATAGAGCTTAATCTGCGGGAAGGGCTGCACTTCTGTACCTTGTGTGTGGACGCATGAATTTACAACACTGACCTTTGAGGATCTCGGCCTTGTTCTTATAACTATTGAACACTCTGCCCTAACTTAGGCTTTTCTTTAGAGATTCAGAAGATTTTATTTCAAGCTTTTTGTGTGTGGAAGTCCCAGGGGGCTTTATCATAATACTGTAGGTTAGAAAACAATTCTTTACAAATTAATTCCAATACCTAGTTTGTAGGTAATACAAATACATTGTAACCATATGCCTTCACCTGAAAAGGAGTTAATCTCATTTTTTATAAGCTTCAGATATCTATGCAATTGGGCACAGATCCAAAAAATGACTTAAACTTTGTGAAACTCCGTATTTATTACCTAAATTGATCTGAGCATATCTAGCAGATAAGGCACTACATAGGTGAATCAGAAATAGCCATAGGTAAAAGGAGCTGCCTGGGTGGTCAGATGGCAATGATCTGTTGGCATGTGTGAAGCAGAACATACAGGTTTCTTTGAGCTTTGAGATCCTTAGCAGGTTAGACGGTATTTTCCTAGATCATTTTCCCAAATTTACAATCTGGCATTTACTGTAAAATGTAGCTAAGGTACCTAAATGCTGAGCTTTTCACTCTGGGTTTCTGTTTGCTAACAGCTTTCCTTTCGTAGACCATTATTAACCCCAATTGCACTTAAGAGTGCAAACCACTTCAAACTGAAATTGTCATTTTGTAATTGAAGAATATTAATCTGCAAGCTGATTTCATAGCTTAAAAAAAGGGAACAACCATTATTCTTTGCACTGAGCTTTTGTGTTCAGAGCACTTCATGGGAATTAGCTGGGTAATTTTCATAATGTGGTCTAACCCCAAAGGTCCATCTTTTCAAAACCGAGCGGTGATCGTGAGCGCTTCTGTCTGTGGGAGCCCAGCTGAAAGAGGCTGGGGGGTGGTTGAGCAGTAGGTACTTGTTTGTAGTTTTGTGTGTAAAAATCAGGTCCCTTTTAAGACAACTCAGGTCTCAAACCTATAGTTTTTAAGATGGGTCATCCTCTTTCAGTTAAATATCACAAGGGAGGACGTTAACTATAGCATTTGTCAAAAAAAAAGAGGGGGGGAGGAATGTCTGAAACTGGTCATGGCTTTTTGTTTCATCTTTAAGTTTGTGGTTAAATTTACTCCAGCAGCATTTATAATCAGAACACTCAGAAACAGAAACTTGCATTGGTTAATCTCTGCAGTTTCTGACAGAGGTGCGTTAAAGTTGTCCTCATGGGTCTGATTCAATCCCCAGTGGCAATCCGTCTCCCACGTTTGCAAATGTAAAGATGTGCGATGGCCACAGCGTCGCACCTCAAATGTAGTTTGTGTAGGTGTCTGGATGCTTGAGTGCGTCTTCCACTAACACGTAATATATTAAATACTAAATTATACCCAGATGAATTCGTACCGACAAACTAGTGGCGGCAGGTTTGGTTTGCTACGCGTGGTGTTTGTACCAGTGTAGCCTTAGATAGCTACAGGTCCTGAGGTGGTCATTACCCTCGTGTTCCAATGAGTAATGCTGTAAGGGAGATCGCTGCCTTGGTTACACCTTCTTGTCATCGGTTAAAGTGAGAGGCTTGACCTGCAGCAGTGCTGATGGCCCTAGTGGAAGCTGCGCCCACTCTGTTTCCATGTTAGCTAATCCACGGGTAATAACGTGAACTGCCTGCTTAAGGTGATGCAGCTGGGAGAAAAACCAAACACATCTGAAGCAACGCTTTAAATGAGGAGAACAAATAGTCAAGCACTCACTTACTGCCACTCCTAAATGGAAAGGTATTTTTGAATGTTCACATTCCTGCCCCAAAATACGTGATCTTCCTTTTCTCCTTTGCTAGCCTGAGCCAGGCAGCGCCAGGGAATCGGAGAGCCTGAGCAGCAAGTGCAGGTGCAGCCTAAATTCTGAAATCCTTCTCAGCCTTCAGCTGAAAGAAATGGACTGATTTTTAGCAGCACTTACCTGCTTAGCTTTAGTGACAATCACACATGAGGTGAAGAGGCATGTGTATCCAAATAGAGGTAGGTTGCTTGCTTTTATCATCAGAGATACCTCTCTGCAAGTGTGGCCACAGCCATATTATTCAGAAAAAGACAAATACTTGTGTGCTTATGTCAGGATGCTGACAAGAACACTTGAGTCCCATCGAAATCAGTGATGCACCATGTACCTTCATCTGCTAGAGAAAACTGCCTGTATTTACTGAAATCAGAGAAGTTCTCCCCAAAATGCTTGGTATTTCTGAATTTAAACTATATCATAACATCCGAGGAATCCTAGTATGACGAGTGAATTTTTTTTTTTTCTCTGCACCTGGAATTTGAGCCATCCTGTTAATTTTTGATGGCTGGTTCTCACTTGTTGGTTCTTACAAGTAATTTTCCTTACAAAGCTGAAAGACTACAGG